TCGACTCTGAGGATCCCCGTATCAGGGGGTTTCACAGGGCGGTGTGCAGCCATCACAAGCCTCTCTTCCTGCTGCTTTCCTGCCTTCCTGCAGCCTCCCTATCCACAATCACATCGGCCCTCTACCTACTTACCTACCGGGGTACCTACCTCTACATATGCCAATAACGACCGGCGTCATGATCAAGCGGCCGCCACACCCTATTACCTAGGCCATGTGCACAAATCCGCTCGGTCCTCCTTTTGCTGTACGTACGGTGTCGTACGAGTAATGTACGATGCCTGATTGAAGTCGTTCCCACGCGGCGCGGGGCGGTGACTGATGGAAGCACGTCAGGTACTGCACACGTTGGACGAGCTTACAGCTGGGTTTACAAGCATGCAGATGGATGGGCACAGCACAGCACAGCACAGCGATCAGCACAGCACAGCGATCAGCACAGCACAGCTCAGCAGCGCACGGCACCCTCCAGCCCAGTTGTACATTTTCGTATGGGCGGGTGCACGGCTGCAGCGGTAGTGTAAGGCCGCAACCATGCTGGCAAGTCGGATGCGCAAGCGCACCATTGACAAGCCCCCGAGAAATATTCAATTTAATCGCAGGTCCTCAATGAGGACCATATTAGCGATTAAGCTAATAAGAACAGATACTACACATGATCTGAGCCAAAAGGCCGAGAAAGGTATGAAAACAACAGGGATGGGCCACGGACGAGTGCACGGCAAAATACTCCTTTGGCCAAGCTTGCGCTCGATGGTGGGGGGTGGTATTTAGAAGCACATTGCTCCCCCTGAAAGCACCTGCTTGCTGTTCCTGGTCCGCAATGTCGGGGCCAAGCAGTAGCTTATTACAGCAGGGCCGATTAAGCTAATGCACAGAGCTGGTGATTCGGCCGCTGCTTCAATCCGTCAGAGCGGTGTAGCGGAGTCCAGTCAGTAGGGACCCATCCATGTCCCTGCCCGCCTGCTGCAGCAGCAGTCAAGGCAGCCGGGTGAAGCTGACGCCACAGACCTTGAAAAAAACAGGCATGCGGAGGTGGAGCTGCGCGTCAGATAACGCGCCTGTAACTGTAGGCTTTATGAGCGAAACGAAAGAAAACAAAAGTTTTCTGTGTATTTGCCGAGCGTGTACTCGGTTGAATGTCCTTGGTGTGTACGGCTGGACCGTACAGGGCTAGAATAAGTCGCAGGAGTGCGACGGAAAGAGCAAGTTCGCGAGTTCATAGCGAGTTCATACTGACAGGTTTCCGCTGCGGCTTCTGCCTAATCTACAGGCTTCAGAAGCAGAGTCGCTCGGTAACCAGGCTCGCCCCCTCCCACGGAAGCAAGCACTAACTTTCCTGCCTGCAGGTACCCCTCCGTCGAACGACCCC